CGTTCTTTCATCTATTGTGGGAAGATCAGTGTGTGTCGCCCTCTTTTTTGACTTAGTTCCTCACCGGGTTATTTTACCTCGGGGGCCTTCGTCCGTTGGCTCAACTCCTCCTAGGGATTCTAATCATAGCTTGCTAAAACTGGAAAGAACGCTAAACCCTGTAAAATGTGCATGTTGGAAATAGTGGACTTCTAATTTTTAGGGAACAGCATATTCTGACTAGTCTTTCGTACTTTATGGACTTGCTCATTGGGTTATCTTTGGTCCATTCTCTAATTTAGCAGACTCGGCCAACTTCGTGCAGAAGACTGACCTCATGTAGAACGATTGTCCCCCTTCAAAGGGGATCGGCAGTAGATTCTCATAGCCATCCCGCACGCTGACCCCACGAACTGTAAAACCTAGCAACATGGATGCTCTGGAGTCTCACCTCTACGCAGCTGGCTACTTCGACAGCGTCGCCGACCAGGGTGCGGTGCCAGAGTATGCGGCTGAGAGCGTTGCTGACTACTTCATCTCCCAGCTGTCTGCGGTAGTTAGACGGTGACGCCATCAGCAAAGAATTCAGAGAGTAAAGCGCAAACAACGCCAACCGAAAATCCCCGGACAACCCGTGCCTCCTGAAATTGCGTGTTGGCGCCCTTCCGTACAAGAGCGATGTCGTGACTAAAACCGCAATCTGCGTGATAATAGACGGATTCCAGGGGTTTCGATGCAGTCCAGTGGAAGTCGCGTGGGTCTGGAACATCCATCGTTTGACCTCGTCTCTGGATAACTACCTCCACAGAAAGCTCGGTCTCAGATGGCGAATGCATTCGGTCAAAGGCTTCACCATCGGTCATCAATGCCTAGATATGGTCTGTTAGACTTCCTGGGGGTGTTAATTCTCGCACCTTCCGTAACTGGCGTGGATTTATGTAAGACGTCGTGGTGAATTTCCGTAGATCGTTGTTGCTGCATCCTCACCGACAGGGAATATCCTTAATCAACGATCATCGACCATGTGTCACTTTGTACACTTTTAATTCTTTTCAAGGAACTCAGTCATCGTACTGTTTGGGCATTTGCGAAGTTTTAAGGACCTCAATAACGTCAATTAAGTGAACCCCCCCATTCACTGAAACTCTGTTGCCGTGTCTGCAGTAGTAGGCTTGAGTCAATCACAGCTTTGTCCCACGGCGTCATTCGGCATGATCCGCGGTACGGGCTCTGGGTAGATGGCGTCAAATGAAATGACAAGCTAATATGCGGGCGACACTGTGAGGGGACACCCTGGACAATTTTTCTGCTATGGCCATCGCAGCACACGATTAAATCAACTCGATAAGCAGGACGGATGACGTTGTCAGATCGTGTTCCTGCCCAGCGGCATGGTGGTTCGTTGGATACGAATTTGAAAAATGGCGTGCAAGCACTATCGATCGAAGACTTCCAGTAGAGCCATGCCTCACATCTGCACAGACTGTCTTGACGGAGGCCTCGTGTACACGCATTTTGATCCTGTGGCTGATTTCATGTGATTTCCAGAAATTTCGATGAGGGCCGCGCGCGCTTTGGATTTATCCGATTGCCGATTTGATCCTTGCCTCGTCCTTTTGTCCAGTAGCCGAAGTGCCATACTGCCCACCGTGACCGGCGATGGGACCCGGAACCATCGCCTTCGCTTTGGAGGAGTTCGCATTCACGCCACGTGTTGCCATCGCAGCCTTCTGTGACGTGGAAGTTTCTGTCTCTGAAAGGGAGCTAGCTAGCATCGCAACGACTTCAGCTCAATTAAGCCAGACCGCAAACTACTGTAACACCTGAATCGTCCGCGTTCGAGTGCTAAAGACCTCGGTCTCTCACGTAGACAAACGAAATTGGTGAGGACACACATCTGTAGTAACTGCCGGTGGTGACAGTGAGGCAGTCGGTCTCCCCGCTAATCACACGAACCCTTGTCCATGTTTAGTGACACTAGGCAGGAATCAGTCGAAGTACCATCGATCGCATCATGACAAGAACCAAAAGCAGAGGTAATTTCCACCAAACAAGCGAGAATAGGTCATTGGTGAGAGTGACTACGTCCACGAATTCAGTTGGGGGAGCAGTTCTGATTAACGTATTTCACTTCCAAACCGAGAAGCTGACAAATTACTGTCCGTACGATCTAGACGATAGTAATTAGGGAGAGACTGATAATACCTGTCGTAATACCAGGCGGATTTATGCACGGCGGTTCTTACACAACGGTCTGCCCCCTTGAATATTGGCGTAAGGACTGCGTTGCTACCGTTTATTGCATACAGTCTGCTCCCGGACTTTGGGTCGGTAGACCATGTAGCAGGTCAGCTAATTATATCGGGCAGCAGGTGTGGACTGCATCTGGAATTCAGTCTTCTCCAGTTGTGGGCGCCAGGCACAATTATATTTTTCGAAGGGGCTGTGTCTGCAAGGTTCGGAGGCTTGGTAAAATGC